CTGAGCATGACTGAGTGGGTTCGGCCATCTATTTCATTCGACATTATAGTGATCCCTCTCTGTGTCAAATACAGCACCCATATATGATTAGCTTAAGCCGTCAAGAAAAGCCTTATTCAAAAGAAATCAGACCCAGAGTGTCCAGGAGGAGAAAACATGGAGATAGGGGCTTGGGAACAAGGGACTGGAAGCTGGCTTCACCGGAGCTGGTGCGGGAAAGGCGTGAATCTCGGGGGCGGGGGACTCAGCGTTCATTTTCATAACCAGAATGCACTGGGTGCAATGTAGTTTTTAATTATTATTTCAATTTATTTATTTTTTTAACATAGTATTTCGAAGAATGAGCCTTCATGCCCATCTGCGAAAACATCTGCTGCAAACTCCTGACCCGGACTTACCCTTGACGTTCCTCAGCCTCACTGTGTTAGGCGAGAGCGTTCCCTCATCAGAGCATCCCCTGTATGTTCACAGGCTCTAAGGGGTATTTTTACTCTTGTCCTTGCTTCTATCCAAGTAAGGATAAGACAAGCTTCCGATAATTTTTGGAGTCCCTGTTAGATTGAACAAGGCCAATATTGTTGTGTGGAAGAATAGAATTTGAAAAAGAGATTTATGTGTGTTTATCATGGGAAATCGTGTTCTTGATGTTTAGTCAGTACAATTTTCATAATCCTGAATGGAGTTTCCCTGAGATTGTTTTTGCTTTTTGATTCCGGGAAAGACTGAAGACAGGAGGAGAAAGAGACAACATTGACTCATTATAGAGCACCCACCTTCTCGGTGGACATCCGTTTGAACAAGCCCTGGGAGACGGAACAAGCCCTGTTCTGAGATGACTGAGCAAAAGAACTGGACAATTTTTATGACCCAGGGATGGAACCAGCTCCTCCTATATTGGTAGACAGCTTTCTTTTGTTGTTTGTTTTTGTTTTAATTACTGATTAGAGTCACCCTGGTGGCTTGGACAGTGAAGAGTCCGCTTACAATAAGGGAGACGGAGGTGCACTCCTGGGGAAGAATCTCCTGGAGAAGGAAATGGCTACCCACTGCATTATTCTTGCCTGGAGAATTCCATGGACACAGGAGCCTGGAGGGCTACCCTTGGGCTACCCCCAAGGGGTCGCAAATAGTTTGGCACAACTGTGCACTCAGGGCACTCTGTTTCATTTGACATTATAGTGAAGCTTCTCTGTGTCAAATGCAGCACTCCTATATCATTTCCTTAAGCCGTCGAGAAAATCCTTTATTAGAGAGAAATCAGACGCAGAGCATCGAGGAGAGGACATGGAGAAGACATGGAGTCAGGGGCCGGGGAACAAGGGACTAGAAGCGGGCTTCTCGAGAGCTGGGGTGGGAAAGGTGAGAATCTTGGGGCTGGGGACTCAGCATTCATTTGCATAACCAGAATGCACTGCGTGCAATATGTTCAATTTATTATTTGAATTTATCATAAATTTCCTTTAATCACAGTATTTCGAGGAATGATCCTTCGTCCACTAATGTGAAAAGATCTGCTCCAAGTTCTTCACCGGGACTTACCATTGTTTTTTTTCTCTCCTCATCCTCAGTGTATTAGGAGTCAGCTTCCCCCTATCAGTACGTGCCCAGGCTCAGCGCAGTATGTGTGCTCCCTTTCTTGCTTTTACTTGAGCTTGGTCTCCGGCATTGCCGTGCAGACTAAGTCAAGTAGAACCAAGAAAGAAAATTTTGCATGACCCTACAATTTTTGTAGGTCTTGTGAGATTAAGCAAGACAATTATTTTTGTGCAGAAAAGTAGAACTTGACAATAACTGATTTCGGCCGATTCTTTTACAGTTTTGAAGTTTCCTGTGTTTACAAGTTCGGATTGTGGGTTTGGTCTTTGATGAGTTGAAAGTGAAAGTCGCTTAAGCGTGTCTAACATTTTGCGACCCCATATACTATGCAGTCCTTGGAATTTTCCAGGCCAGAATACTGGAGTGGTTAGCCTTCCCCTTTTCTGGGGTCTGCCCAACCCAGACATCGAACCCGTGTCTCCTGCATTGCACATGATTTGTTTACTGTATGAGCCACGTTTTTTGTTTTTTGTTTTTTTCCTAGTCCACAGCTATTAGTACTGGAGTTCAGTTCAGTTCAGTTCAGTCGCTCAGTCGTGTCCAACTCTTTGTGACCCCATGAATCGCAGCACTCCAGGCCTCCCTGTCCATCACCAATTCCTGGAGGTTACTCAAACTCATGTCCATCGAGTCGGTGATGCCATCTAGCCATCTCATCCTCTGTCATCCCCTTCTCATCCTGCTCCCAATGCCTCCCAGCATCAGGGACTTTTCCAATGAATCAACTCTTCGCATGAGGTAGCCAAACTATTGGAGTTCCAGCTTCAGCATCAGTCATTCTAATGAACACCCGGGACTGATCTTTAGGATGGACTGTCTGGGTCTCCTTGCAGCCCAAGGGATTCTCAAGAGTCTTCTCCAACACCACAGTTCAAAAGCATCGATTTTTTGGCACTCAGCTTTCTTCACGGTCCAACTCTCACATCCATACATGACCACTGGAACAACCATAGCCTTGACTAGACGGACCTTTGTTGGCAATGTAATGTCTCTGCTTTTGAATATGCTATCTATGTTGGTCATAACTTTCCTTCCAAGGAGTAAGCGTCTTTCAATTTCATGGCTGCAATCACCATCTGCAGTGATTTTGGAGCCCCCAAAAATAAAGTCTGACACTGTTTCCACTGTTTATCCATCTATTTCCCATGAAGTGATGGGACCAGATGCCATGATCTTAGTTTTCTGAATGTTGAGCTTTAAGCCAACTTTTTCACTCTCCTCTTTCACTTTCATCAAGAGGCTTTTTAGTTCCTCTTCACTTTCTGCCATAAGGATGGTGTCATATGCATATCCAAGGTTATTGATATTTCTCCTGGCAATCTTGATTCCAGCTTGTGCTTTTTCCAGCCCAGCGTTTCTCATGATGTACTCTGCATATAAGTTAAATAAGCAGGGTGACAATATACAGCCTTGATGTACCCCTTTTCCTATTTGGAACCAGTCTGTTGTTATATAACATTAAACACAACTGTGGACTCAAGCCCTGCTGCTGCAAGTCACTTCAGTTGTGTCCGACTCTGTGCGACCCCGTCCCTGGGATTCTCCAGGCAAGAACACTGAAGTGGGTTGCCATTTCCTTCTCCAATGCATAAAAGTGAAAAGTGAAAGTGAAGTCGCTCAGTCATGTTCGACTCTTCGCGACCCCATGCACTGCAGCCTACCAGGCTCCTCCATCCATGGGATTTTCCAGGCAAGACTACTGGAGTGGGGTGCCATTGCCTTCTCCGGGACTCAAACCCTAGGTTGTTTTAATACATGGGATAACCATATAGTTTGCACTTCTGTGGCTAAGCCCATTTCTCTATTTATATAGACAGAGCTAGCATTGCTCTATTAACAGCAACCAATACACTGTTTTGTCCTTTAAGATCTATTTGCCACAGGAGGCTGAAACCACTAAACCAAATTTTTTCACTAAGGCTACAAACACTGCGTCTATGGGATGGGAAGCTTGTCATGCACTCACACATCCAAAGTCCATCAGCCTTGGGGAGTCAGCTTCCAACCCTGCATTATTTTCTTCCACTCCAATCTTTTATATGTGTTATTTCACAATTTTCCTATCATGCTAAACATGGTAAAAATCTCTAATACATTCACACCTGTTTCTGGTTACCCAGTAGTATTACTTGTGTGTAATGAAACAAGAGACCAAAAACCACAGGACAAGTGCACAGGGTGGGGGATGACAGGATAGGAACCAGACAGAAAACCCAGATGTGCAGATTTCACCAGAAACCAAGTACCCACCTCTCAAGTCTAGAGCAGAAGGAGGCTACTTGCTACAGTTCAGATCCTTCAACTATCACCCTGATTCCTGGACCCCCAGAGCAGGAGCCAGTGCTGTTACTTCTAAGCCCAGGGTCCTCAAAAATGAGTCCTGGAAATCCAGAAATGCTTCCCGTGAACTGTGTGAATCTGGTGGAAAACATGAAGGGACAAACCTGCACTAACTGTCTGACAGTTAAATTCATGTTACAAAAAAACTAACTTTCAGAATTATTTTTGTAACTTTTTTAAACAGAGAAAACAAAATACTCCTTAGGGAAAGGTGGGGGGTTGAGAAGACAGGCTCTGGGTAAAAATGATTATGACAGCACCTGGAGTTGAGAGGCCTGCCTAGGAGAGTGACCCAGGCATGGCCGCTGCCCCTGAGGCCCGCTGCCGTCTGAGGCTTGGCAGACCAGTTCATGCACCCCACCAAGCTGCTATAGATCCAAGTCATAAAAGTCTTGCAGCTCATCGTGAAACAAGTCCCACTTGTTTTCAAAGTCTGTCAGGTTGTCGTCCGCACCTGCAGCCAAAAACATAAGCAACGTCTCACCCAGCTCAAAGGTGACAACGTCTTCTTTGTCGTCAAGAGGGTTGCCATTCTCTCGGTCCTCGATGAGCTCCCAGAAATCGTTCCTTCATTGGGCCCAGTATCTGCTTGATGTTCCCACTTTCTGTCTCTGTGGCTCCTCTCGACAGCCATCAGGGTACGCGTGCCTGTAAAAACAGTTCCCCCCAAATGGGCAGCTCCCATGGCCTTCATCAAAATACCTGCAGGCCTTGTTGCTCATTGCCTTCTTGTATTTCTGAATGAGTTTCTGCTTCTCTTTTTTTCTCCTCCACCCAGTACTCACTTTGAATGACAAAGTTAGATGTGATCTGACATTCTAGGCAGGACTATATCTCTTGCTCTCAAATTGCTTAGCACTCCTCCAGTTGCGAATACACTTGAGACTGTAGTTGTGGTTGCAGTTAGGGAGGATACCAAAGCGGCACTCGCTGGGGTTGGCTTTCTCGTAGACTACCTCCATGCAGATGCCACACACCGTGTCCTTGCTGCGCTGCACCGCGAATGAGAGCTCCATGTCCTTCTCATGGGCCTTGATGCAGCTGTGACCTTTATATGCTGTGACCTCTGGGCGGCATCCACGGGATGGAGGACCTGCAGCCCGCACATGTCACACATGTCTCCATGCAGATACACGCAGTTCTCCCCATAGCAGCACTCCCCCACTGCAGCATAGGGGCAGAGCTCCTTCTTGGTGTCCACCATACTTTGCTCCCTCTCCGAGTCTTCCTTGGTCCCTGAGCCCTGCAGGGGGCCTTCAGCAGAGGAAGGGGTATTATGGCCACAGTAGGGCTGCCCCGGAACAAACTTGATGACTTTCAAGGTCTTCTGAACCAGCTCCTACAATTGCAAAGTTTGAATTTCTTGACTCAGCCTCACCCATATTCATTTCAACAGTCGGTCCAACTGATGAGAGACTCGAGGAAGCAGCAAGGGATGACTTTGCAGTTAGATCTGTAGCAGCTGCTTTTTCCTGTTTCAGTGGCTTGCTATGTTCATATCTGCAGTGGTCTCCATAAATACAATACCCTTGCTGAAAATATTTACACACTACACCATATGGACTGTCAAGAGAGTTCATGTGAGTAGCGACAGTTGTCTCCTTCCTTACAAACCCCATGCATGAAATACCGTCTGGTTTTCTGGTTTGTTTTTCATGCCTTTTGTCCTCTCAGTCTTCACAATGATATCCCTTCTTGCCAACCCATCTCTACATCTCTTAGTGTTCCTCCTTTCCATCGAGTCCAAGTTCAATTTGCTTGCTGATGACAGGCCAATAAACTGAGAGATGAGGTGTTGAGATCAGGAACAGGAAAGCCAGCAGACCAAGGTGATAGCAGACTAGGTCTCTGAAACACCATTCTGCATGTACCTTTTTGAGTTAGTGTTTTTGTTTCTCTAGGGTATATACCCAGAAGTGGAATTGCTGGGTCATGTGGCAGATTTAGTTTTTTGAGAAGTGTCCATACTGTTTTCCACAATGGCTGCACCAATTTACGTTCTCCCCAACAGTGTGTGAGGGTTAGAGTTATCCACATCCTCACCAACATTTGTTATTTGTGTTCTTTTTGATGATAGACATTCTAACAGATGTGAAGCAATATCTCATTGTGGTTTTAATTTGCATTTCTCTGATGATTAACAGTGATGTGGATCTTTTCATGTACCTGTTGGCCATCTATGTCTTCTTTGGAAAAATGTCTATTCAGAACTTCCGTCCATTTTTTAATTGGGTCACATATTTTTTTTATATTGACTTGTGTGAGCTGTTTTGTATATTTTGGATATTGACCCTTTATCAGTCATATCATTACCAAATACTTTCTCCCATTCAGTATGTTGTCTTTTTATTTTGTTGATGGTTTCCTTTGCTGTGCAATAGCTTTTAAGTCTAATTATGTCCCATTTGTTTATTTTGCTTTTATTTCCTTTGCTTTAGGAGATAGATCCAAAAAATTTGCTATGATTTATGCATATTAATGGCAGTGCTATCTTGTTTGTAACTACTGGAATGTGTTGGCTTTTAAATAGTGTAAGCATTTTATATATAGGTAAGAAACTCAGATCAAATGTTCATACAGATCAACTTGAAAATCATTGCTTTGGGACTTCCCTGGTGACCCAGTGGCTAAGGCTCCATGCTCCCAATGCAGGGTGCCTGGGTTCGATCCCTGGTCAGGGAACTAAGATCCCATATGCCACAAGTAAGACCTGGTACAGCCAAATAAATTCATTAAATAAATAAAAAGAATTAAAAAATAAAATCATTGTTTTATTAATTAGTTGATAAGGCTCTGTGTAAAGTCCTGATGTTGTGAAGATATGATAGGGAAGTTTTGATGGAATAGGAAAGGACTAGCAATGGGGTCAGAAAGTTCTTAGTTCTGAAAAGTTCCATTCATCTTTGGGGGAATGCAGGACAATGGAAGATGAATCCTGTGAGACCAAAAAGACCCATTTAACAAACTAGTGACATTTTCTTCCCAAAAAGTACACAGCTTATATGTTAACTAGCAGTTGTTCTTGGATAAAATTTTAATTTTAGTACTATTGTTGCCTTGACTGTGGGTGAGGCAGGAAGGTACCCAGACCAACAAGGCTGTGTCACAGAGTCTGGTACAAGGAGAAGAGTAGCAGAGGGAGGAACTGGGGAGAAAATAAAGGGGACTGGGAGGAGGCAGCATGGCAGAACCCTTGGGGCATTCTCATGAGTACAGCTTGAGAGGGATGGGGTCCATCTGTGAACACAGGGTCTTACTCCCAGGGTCCTAGTCACTGAGGTCACGCAACCACAAGTTTTTGTGCCTATGGGCCTGGGATACTTACTGAAGAGAAGCCAGAATGCCAGAGTACAGTTTCAAAGACCAGGAAGCTGGAAGCCAGAGACTACTCCCAAAGGAAAAGCCCCCTTGTCTTTAAAAGAGAAAGGAAGACAATGAGTACCTGTCTGCTATGGTCTCAGTCTTTGTGTCCACGTGCGTGCTAAGTCACTTAAGTCATGTCTGACTCCCTGCAACCCCATGGACTGTAGCCTGCTAGGCTCCTCTGTCCATGGGGATTCTGTAGGCAAGAATATTGGAGTGGGTTGCCATGCCCTCCTCCAGGAGATCTTCCCTATCCAGGGATCCAACCCCTGTCTCTTATGTCTCCTGCACTGACAGGCGAGTTATTTAATACTACTAGTGCAACCTGCCCCCCACCCCACCACCATATCAGTCAGTCAGTCAGTTCAGTTGCTCAGTCGTGTCCGACTTTGTGACCCCATGAATCGCAGCATGCCAGGCCTCCCTGTCCATCACAAACTCCTGGAGTTTACTCAAACTCATGTCCATCGAGTTGGTGATGCCATCCAGCCATCTCATCCTCTGTCATCCCCTTCTCCTCCTGCCCCCAATCCCTCCCAGCATCAGGGTCTTTTCCAATGAGTCAACTCTTCGCATCAGGTGGCCAAAGTATTGGAGTTTCAGCTTCAGCATCAGTCTTTCCAATGAACACCCAGGACTGTCTCCTTTAGGATGGACTGGCTGGATCTCCTTGCAATCCAAGGGATTCGCAAGAGTCTTCTCCAACACCACAGTTCAAAAGCATCAGTTTTTTGGCGCTCAGCTTTCTTCACAGTCCAACTCTCACATCCATACATGACCACTGGAAAAACCATAGCCTTGACTAGACGGACCTTTGTTGGCAAAGTAATGTCTCTGCTTTTTAATATGCTATCTAGGTTGGTCATAACTTTCCTTCTAAGGAGTAAGTGTCTTTTAATTTCATGGCTGCAATCACCATCTGCAGTGATTTTGGAGCCTCCCCAAAATAAAGTCTGACATTGTTTCCACTGTCTCCCCATCTATTTCCCATGAGGTAATGGGACCAGATGCCATGATCTTAGTTTTCTGAATGTTAAGCTTTAGGCCAACTTTTTCATGCTCGTCTTTCACTTTCATCAAGAGGCTTTTTAGTTCCTCTTCACTTTCTGCCATAAGGGTGGTGTCATATGCATATCTGAGGTTATTGATATTTCTCCTGGCAATCTTGATTCCAGCTTCTGCTTCTTCCAGCCCAACGTTTCTCATGATGTACTCTGCATATAAGTTAAATAAGCAGGGTGACAATATACAGCCTTGACGTACTCCTTTTCCTATTTGGAACCAGTCTGTTGGTCCATGTCCAGTTCTAACTGTTGCTTCCTGACCTGCATACAGGTTTCTCAAGAGGCAGGTCAGGTGGTCTGGTATTCCCATCTCTTTCAGAATTTTCCACAGTTTATTGTGATCCACACAGTCGAAGGCTTTGGCATAGTCAATAAAGCAGAAATAGATGTTTTTCTGGAACTCTCTAGCTTTTTCGATGATCCAGTGGATATTGGCAATTTGATCTCTGGTTCCTCTGCCTTTTCTAAAACCAGCTTGAACATCTGGAAGTTCTTGGTTCACGTATTGCTGAAGCCTGGCTTGGAGAATTTTGAGCATTACTTTACTAGAGTGTGAGATGAGTGCAATTGTGCGGTAGTTTGAGCATTCTTTGGGATTGCCTTTCTTAGGGATTGGAATGAAAACTGACCTTTTCCAGTCCTGTGGCCACTGCTGAGTTTTCCAAATTTGCTGGCATATTGAGTGCAGCACTTTCACAGCATCATCTTTCAGGATTTGAAATAGCTCAACTGGAATTCCATCACATCCACTAGCTTTGTTTGTAGTGATGCTTTCTAAGGCCCACTTGACTTCACATTCCAGGATGTCTGGCTCTAGGTGAGTGATCACACCATTGTGATTATCTGGGTCGTGAAGATCTTTTTTGTATAGTTCTTCTGTGTATTCTTGCCACCTCTTCTTAATATCTTCTGCTTCTGTTAGGTCCATACCATTTCTGTCCTTTATTGAGCCCATTTTTGCATGAAATGTTCCCTTGGTATCTCTAATTTTCCTGAAGAGATCTCTAGTCTTTCCCATTCTGTTGTTTTCCTCTATTTTTTGCATTGATTGCTGAGGAAGGCTTTCTTATCTCTCCTGGCTTTTCTTTGGAACTCTGCATTCAAATGGAAATATCTTCCCTTTTCTCCTTTGCTTTTCACTTCTCTTCATTTCACAGCTATTTGTAAGGCCTCCTCAGACAATCATTTTGCCTTTTTGCATCTCTTTTCCATGGGGATGGTCTTGATCCCTGTCTCCTGTACAATGTCACGAACTTCTGTCCATAGTTCATCAGGCTCTCTGTCTATCAGATCTAGTCCCTTAAATCTATTTCTCACCATATAATGGGAGCCATAACTGTCAATGTGATGGTATCAGGAGATGGGGCCTTTGGGAAGAGCAAGGCCCTTATGAATGAGATTAGTGCCTTTATAAAAGAGGCTGCAGAAACCCCCCTTGCCTCTTCCAACTTGTGAAGACATAGAAGATGGCCATGTGAATTAGGAAGTGGGCTCTCAACAGACACTGAATCTGCTGGTACCTTGATCTTGGACTTCTCAACCTCCACAACTGTGAGAAATAAATTTATATTTATAAGCCACACAGTCTCTGGTGTTTTGTTATATCAGCCTGAGTGGACTAAGACACCATCTATAGGACACAGTTAACTCTTTGTCTCCTGTTCCATCTCTGTCTCTAGTGCTGGGAAAATGAGGATGTTCCACTGACAGAGTGGTACTGAATTTTCAGTTTCAAAGTTCTGCTGGGTTGATTCTTAGAGACCCTTTCCTGTCACTGAAATCCTTTGACAAGGCACCTCAGCACCAGCATCCTCACACACAACCCAA